TATAATGCTCTGACACACCCCCATAGGCTAAGTGGGGGAGAACAAGGGGTCACAAGACCAGTCAAGCAAAGCAAAGCAAAGCTCAGGGTGGATCACAAAGTCACCACACATTCCGAGCACAAGTTCAAGGGCCACAAGGCCAGTTCACATGCAAGATCATATATAGAGATATACAAGAGTCAAGCAAGCAAGAACAAGAGTATATATAGGTCAAGGTACAAGCAAGGTCAAGAAGTGAGCAAGTGAGGCAAGACAGGCACAAGACCCAGCTGCGTGCAGCAACGCTGATGATCACAAGGCGCAAGTGCCTTGGTGAAGACATCAGCAGTGTTGGCCTCAGAGGCCACGTACGCAAGTCGCAACTGTCCACGCTGCTGCAGCTCACGAGCAAGAAAGTAGCGGAGAGCAATGTGCTTTGTCCTGTGCTCCAGTCGCTGCTCTCGACACAAGGCCAGCATGGCCTTGTTGTCTACGTACAGGACTGGAGGAGAACGAGGCGGCTCTCCAAGGTCGGTCAGCAGGTAGGTGAGCCAGCGAAGCTCCTGAGCAGCCATAGCCCCGGCGTAGATCTCAGCCTCACAACTGGAGCCGAGAACAGAAGACGAGCAGGTAGCCCGCCATGAAACAGAGCCGGAACCAAGGCTGAAGGTGTAACCCTGTGACGACCGCTGCGTAGCCTGGTCGTCAGCCCAAGAAGCGTCCGCGTGCCCAGTGAGGACCACTTGACTGCGCCCTCCAAGCACTAGCCCCATGCCCGACGTACTGCACAAGTAGCGCAACACCCTCTTCGCTGCAGCCATGTGCTCTGGTCGGTGTCTCCCAGGAGCAACATAGCGTGCGAGAATGCTAAGAGGGTATGCAAGGTCAGGTCGTGTGCAGGTCATCAGGTACATGAGGCAGCCAACAAGCTCTGGGTACGGGCCACTCGACTCTACGGACTCATCCGAAGGCAGAGCTGAGAGCGAGTGGCGAGTAGGCAGAGGAGTGGCCTGAGGCGAGGAGTACGTGAAGCCGAAGCGCTGAAGGACCTGCTGCACCATGTGTGACTGAGTCAAGGTAATGGTGCGGCGTGCTCTGTCCCGGGTGATCTGCAGGCCAAGGTAGCTGCGCAGTTCACCCAGGTCTGTGCACGTGTATCTCTTCTGCAGCTCAGACTTCACGTAGGCGAGTCCAGCAGTGTCAGCTGTGGCAAAGACCAAGTCGTCGACGTACACGAGGATGTAGAACGGCGGCAGAGAGGTGTCGGTGCGCAGAAACATCGACGGGTCGGCAGTAGAAGGAGCAAACCCAAGTGCCGCCAGAGTAGTCCTCAGCGTGTCGTGCCACTCACGTGGCGCCTGGCGGAGACCGTAGACTGGACGCCGAAGACTCCACTGGGTACTAGAAGGGAAAGACCCAGTGAAGCCAGGTGGGCGACGCAGCCAGATCTCCTCGTGCAGGCTGCCCTGCAAGAAAGCAGTGCTGAAGTCGACAGAGTGCAGCTCGTAGTCACGGTGAGCAGCAACGTGCAGCAGTACCCGAAGAGTGGTCATCTTCGGGGTGGGGGAGAAGGTCTGAAAGTAGTCAACTCCCTGCCGCTGACTGAAGCCACGAGCCACGTAACGCGCCTTGAAGACAGGCGGAGAACCCGGCGGCCGCTTCACCCTGAAAATCCACATGCCACTGACTATGTTCGCCCCAGGAGGGGGAACAGCGTCAACGTAGGTGCCTGTGGACTTCCAGGAAGCCATCTCTGCATCCATAGCTGCCTGCCACTGAGAGGAGTAGGGACCCTCTATCGCCTCTGCGTAAGAGCGCGGAGTCGGGATGTCTAGTGCATCCGGGTCTCCCTCAGGGGCGAGCAGTACAGACGCGAGATGAGGTGAAGCGGCGGCCAGACACTGGAACTCCTCCTGCCTGTCCTCAAGGACGTCCGTGCCAAGGGCACACTCACCCCCGACGGACGGAGGACAGGCAGACTCAGACTCAGCGACAAGACTAGCAGCGTAGTCTAGGCGACAGCGCGCAGCAAAGTCGACGAGCTCAGTGACAAGGGCAGACGCAGCAGAAGACTAGAAAGAAGGGTCAGTGACAGCAGTAGCAAGGAGACGCGTGACAGTAGGACTGGCAGCACGAAGAGAGTCCGACTCCGGGTCGGCAAGAGCAGGAAGAGAGGAAGCAGGAGGAGAAGGCAAAGGGGCACGCAGAGGAGCAGTGGACGGACGCAGAGACATCCGGTGCGTGCCAGGGACAGGAGGAGGACGCTGACGCGAACCGCGGCCACTAGTGCGTGCTGGATGAACAGGCGACGCAGGACGAGACGCAGGCTCACGACGCTCAGTAAGACCTCCAGTCGGACCAGTGTAGGGAGAAGGAGCAGGCAAAGGGGAGGCAGGCTGTAGCTGTGACTGGGACTGGACAGGCTGTGGACCCTCTAAGGGAGGAGGAGGAGGACCAGGAGAAGGTGTAAGACCAAGAACCTGCTGCAGGAGCGGAACGAAGTACGGTCGGGGCCGCGTGGCGACGCCAGAAACAGTAGGGACAGCACCAGTACCCCCAGCAGGAGTACCCGCTCCAGCAGCACCTCCAGCAGCACCTCCAGTAGCACCAGAACCCCCAGCAGCACCAGGAGAACTGTCAGTCGGACCGCCAGCAGTAGTCCCAGCTCCAACACCCTCAGCAGCACCAGCTGGTGCTGCTGAGGGTTCTCCTGGAGCTGGTGCTGGTGCTGTCCCTACTGTTTCTGGCGTCGCCACGCGGCCCCGACCGTACTTCGTTCCGCTCCTGCAGCTCGGGCGGCTCGGGCGGCTCGGGCGGCTCGGGCGGCTCGCGCGGCTCGGGTGACGCGGGGGGTTCACGGGCGGCGCGAGCGGCTACACGGGCGGCTCACGGGCGGCTGCACGGGCGGCTCACGGGCGGCTGGGGCGGCTCACGGGCGGCACGGTGGGCGGCTGCACGGGCGGTTGCACGGGCGGCTGCACGGGCGGTTGCACGGGCGGGTGCACGGGCGGGGCACGGGCGGCTGCACGGGTGGCGCGGCGGGCTGCAGCACGGGCGGCGGGGCCGCAATGGGGGCCGTAGCGGGGCTGCAGCGGGGCCTAAGCGAGGCCGTAGCGGGGCCGTAGTGGGGCCGACGACGGGCTGTAGCGGGGCCGTAGCAGGGTCGGCGGGGCCTAGGCGGGGCCGACGGGGCCGACAGGGCCGTAGCGAGGCCGTAGCGGGGCCTAAGCGGGGCCGACGGGGCCTAAGTGGGGCCGATGGGGCCTAAGCGGGGCCGACGCGGGGCCGTAGCAGGGCCTAAGCGGGGCCGACGGGGCCTAAGCGGGGCCGACGGGGCCTAAGCGGGGCCGACGAGGGGCCGTAGCGGGGCCTAAGCGGGGCCGACGGGGCCTAAGCGGGGCCAACGCGGGGCCGTAGCGGGGCCTAAGCGGGGCCGACGGGGCCTAAGCGGGGCCGAAGCGGGGCCGTAGGGGTAAAGCGAGGCCGCGACTAAAGGGCGGCGGGATCGCGAAGGTAAGGGCGACACGTAGGGTCGCTAAAAAAAAAGAACGCGCGCCTCGGGGCGCGCTTCGGTGGGCCCTAGGAACAGTCCCTAGGAGGGGACCTGCTCTGATTCCATGAGAAGAATTGAACGAGAATGAAATGACTATGAACGAAGTGAGTACAAATAGGAAACCCTAATTGGGTTGTACCCCCTATGGGATACCCCACTATAGCCTACACAAATAAGTAAGCTATAATGCTCTGACATTTTTTTCGTACAAATACAGTTCAGATAACCTTTAAATGTCTACCCACATAAACAACATCAGTTTGTGACTTCGTCAGTTAGGGAATTCATGCGACTAGTATGAACGCAGGTTCAAATCTTGATGTCGGCGACTGTTCTGCCGAATATATGCCTATTTCTCCGAGATTCAGTACATGTTTACCTCACATGTTACACTCTCTAGTCAGGGAATCAAAACTCCTACCCTGTTCTTGAAAGGGTTAAAAAAAAAACACTAATTCGAAGAAAGGGTATGTCAGACTTATATGATCTAGCCTCTATAGGCTGTAGCGAGTTAAATACTAAGGGGTACACAATTCTAGGGTTTCATATTTTGAATCACACTCATTCCTTAGTCAATCATTCCTCGTTCTTTCACATGGTATAGAGCAGGTTCCCTAGTGGGAACGTATCCTAGGGCCCACCACGATCGAATTTTTTTTTCCTGCCCGGAGCGCGCTTCGCTCCTGCCCGAGTCGCGCCCCGTGTGCCTGCCCTCCCGCCGCGTCCCCTGCCCTTAGCGGCCCGTCGCACTCCCTTACGGCCCCTCTCACGGCCCCTCGCGACCCCCTCACGGCTCCCTCGCGGCCCCTACGCGGCCCTTCGCGGCCCCGCTCACGGCCCTTCGTGGCCCCTTACGGCCCCTCGCGGCCCCTTCGCGGCCCTTAGCGGCCCCTTCTAGGCCCCGTCGCCGCCCTTCGCGGCCCCGTCGCCGCCCTTCTCGGCCCCGTCACCGCCCTTCGCGACCCATTGCGGCCCTTCTCGGCCCCGTAGCCGCCCTTCGCGGCCCTTCTCAGCCCCGTCGCCACCCTTCGCGGCCCCTTCACGGCCCTTTGTGGCACCTTCACCGCCCTTGGCGGCCCCTTCTTGGCTCCCTCACGGACCTGCCGCCCCGCCGTCGCCGCCCCTGCAGCAGCAGCCGACGCCGCCCCTGCAGCAGGAGCCGCCACCGCCGGTGCCGCCGACAGCAGCAGCCGCCGCCGCCACAGCCGGGGCCGCAGTCGCCGCAGCCGCCGACTGCAGCTGCCGCCGCCGCCGACAGCAGGGGCCGCCGCCGCTGCCCCGGCCCTGCCCTGCAGAGAGGAGCGGCGCTCCTCTTCCGCCCTGTAGCGGCCCCGTCCCTGCCGACGCGCCTCGGCCCTGCCCCACCACTTGCGGCACTCTACCCACCAGCCCTGGTAAGAGCACCACCGAGCCGCGCCCCTACTGTTGCTACTGCTGCTGCTGCCCCTAGCCTGCTGGCACTGCTATCATGGCTACCCCTAGCGTTCTCGTCTTTGATGCTGAGGGTAGGGCTGTTGACTTTGAGGTATGGGTCGATGATCTACAGCTTTTCCTACAATGCGATAGGAAGGACGGTCTCTCACTGTTCGATCTCACGTCTGGCGCCTCTGCTGCCCCTGCTGCCGATGCTGACAGCACTGTTCGCTCACAGTGGGCCACACGCGATGCTGCTGCCCGTCTTGCTGTGCGTAGTCACTTGCCGTCCTTTGAGCGCACGCACATCAGTCAGTACAAGAGTGCTAGGACCTTGTACGACGCTGTAGTCGCACGCTACTTTTCCCCTGCCACTGCTGCCCTTAGCCGCCTCATGCTGCCGTACCTCCCTGACCTCGCCGCCTTTCCCACAGTCGCTGACCTCATTACAAACCTTCGCACTAGTGACACCCACTACCGCGCTGTGCTTCCTGCTGAGTTCTGCGCCAAGAACCCCCCCCCCCCCCCATGTACATCACCCTCTACATAGTCACCCGGCTCCCTGACTCCCTTCGCTCGGTCAGGGACCACTTACTCTCTGTTTGCACCACCACACTCACTGTTGACCTCCTCGAGGAGCGCCTCCTGGCAGCTGAGAAGAGTATAGTCGCTGTAGGAGCCTCTCGTGGTGACCCTCGTGCCCCCTTCTTTGAGGGGTGCCCCCCCTCCCCCCTTTTGCCCTCTATTGCCTCTGCTGCTGCCGTCGACTTCGTTGGCAACGAGTCGGTCGGCGCTGCGTCTGCCCCTAGCGGGAGACGCCGCCCCGGCAAGGGCAAGGGGGGCAAGGGTGCTGGAGGGGCTGGCGGGGGCGGTGGAGGTGGCGGTGGAGGCGGCGGAGGGAGTGGGGGTGGCGGTGGGAGTGGTGGCGGGGGTGGGGGCTTCGGTGGCGGCGGTGGAGGAGGAGGCGGCGGCAGCGGTGGCGGTGGGAGCGGAGGAGGAGGCGGTGGCGGCGGCGGTGGAGGTGGCGGTGGGGACAGTGGAGCGGGTCGGGGTGGCTCTGCGCAGCGGGGCGGCGTCGGTGGTGGTCATCGCCAGAAGCAGCAACGCACTCGTGAGACCTCGCCCCCCCAGCAGCTTCGTGAGTGGTACGCTGCGCGTCAGCGGGGTGGGGGTGCTGGTCCTTGTGCCTACGTCCTGCATACCGGCGACCGCACTGGTGAGCCGTGCGGTGGCCCGCACACCACCCAGCGCTGCTTCGGCCGCCTGACGGACGCTTGGCGTCTCCAGTTCCCTGACGCCACTGAGATCCCCTCGCTGGGGCGAGCTGCTTAGGTCGGGGGTTGCTATCTTTGATCTGGATTATGATGCTATTCTTGCTGCCATGCATGTTGTGTCCACAAGTGATGAGGGCGGCTGTTACCTGTGTGTTCCGCCTGATCCGGACATTGAGGCTGCTGCTCTAGGTGCTGGTGAGGCTGCTGCTCTCGGTGCTAGTGCGTCTGCTGCTCCAGGTACTGGTGAATCTGCTGCCCCAGGTGCTGGTGAGTCTGCTCTCTCAGGTACCACGTCGGCTCAGGCCTTACACACCTTCACCCTTGACTCGGGTGCTTCCCGCTCCTTCTTTCGAGACCGCACGACGCTTACGTCGCTTAGTCGGCCAGTTGCGATCTCAGCGAACCCCTCTGGGGGTCTTGTCCTTGCCCACTTCTCCACTGTCTTACCGTGTCCGCCGGCCCTTTCTGGCACCCTGTCAGGTCTCTACCTCCCCTCGTTCTCTACGAACTTGGTGAGTGGTGCTGACCTACAGGATGGGGGGGTTGACCAGTTCACTCCTGCGAGTCAGCGGGTGACCCACTGTACGTGTGCTCGGACGGGCCGACACTTGGCCACGTTTACCCGTCAGCCGGGGTCGAGCCTGTACACACTGACTACTTAGTCTTCACCGGTTGCTGAGTCAGGTCAGGTGTTTGCTCCAGCGTCCAGGTCTGGTCTTGAGTCTGCTCCCTGCTCGTGTCGTCTCCTGTCCCACCGGACTCTCCTCTGGCACCCCCGCCTTGGTCACCCTTCCCTGCCTCGTCTCCGAGGCATGGCCTCCCGTTACCTTGTCTCTGGTCTCCCCCAGTCCCTCCCTCCCCTCCCTCCGGGGCCTGCCCCTACGTTCGTTCCTCTTCTGCGTCTGCACTCTGACAGAGGCGGAGAGTTTTCCTCTGGCCTTCTCGGAGCCTTCTGTCGTGCACAGGGCATCCGCCAGACGTTCACGCTTCCGGCCTCTCCGCAGCAAAATGGGATTGCTGAGCGCCGCATTGGCATGGTCATGGACGTCGCTCGTACGTCCTTGATTCATGCGGTTGCTCCCCATTTTCTATGGCCGTTCGCGATTCAGTACGCGGCGCATCAGATCAACCTTCAGCCCCGAGTCTCCTTGCCGGAGACCTCCCCTGCTCTGCGGTGGACGGGGAAGGTTGGCGATGGGTATGCGTTTCGTGTCTGGGGAACTCGGGCTTTTGTCCGCGACTTGTCCACGGACAAGCTGTCCCCCCGTGCTGTTCCCTGCGTCTGCCTTGGCTTCCCCCCTGACGAGCCTGGTTGGCAGTTTTACCACCCCACCTCGCGCCGTGTTCTGTCCTCCCAGGACGTCACGTTTGATGAGTCGGTTCCTTACTACCGTCTCTTCCCCTACCGCACTGCGCCCCTCCCCCCGCCGCCGCTCTTCCTCGCGCCAGGACCCCCCCTTTAGACCCCCTTCTCCCTCAGGGTCCTGCCCCCTCATGTGTGTCCCAGGTTGACGCAGTCGAGCCTATCAAGGTAGCTGTTGACTCTGGTGCTGCTCAGGGTGGTGAGCCTGCGGGTGCGGGGCCTGGGGGTGCTGAGCTTGGGGGTGCTGAGTCTGGGGGTGCTGAGCCTGGGGGTGCTAAGCGTGGGGGTGCTAAGCCTGGGGGTGTGGAGCCTGGGGGTGTGGAGCCTGAGGGTGCTGGGCCTACTCGTGTGGAGTCTGGCGGTGCTGGGTCTGGGGGTCCCTTGGGTGCTTCGTCCCGGCGGGAGCTCCCCTCTCCTCAGGAGCTGCGCGAGTGGTTTGCTCGGCGCTGGAGCCGTGCTGCTAGAGCTGGAGGTGCTGCTGGCGCTAGCGGTTCTGCTGCTACTGAGGGTGTTGGTGCCAAAGGTTCCGAAGGTGCTCGTACTGGAGGTACTGCAGCTGCTTGGCTTGGGGGTGCTCCTTCTGCTGGAGCTAGTGGTGGTGCTAGAGCTGCTGGTGGAGCTTCTGGAGCAGGTGCTACTGGAGGTGCTGGAGCTGTGGCTGTCGAGCCTTCCCGTGGTCCGGTTGGAGCTGGAGCTGCTGGGGGCGCTGGAGGTGCTGCTGGCGCTGGTGCTTCTGAGGGTGCCGGAGTTGGCGGTGATGCAGCTGGGGGTACTACTGGTGCTGTAACTGCCGCTGGGGGTGCTGGTGCTGTCCGTGCTGGCTCTGGAGGCGCTGCGCGGCCACGGCCGTACTTCGTTCCGCTCCTTGAGCAGGTTCTTCGTCTCCCACCCTCTACTGGTCCTGCTCCTTCCTTAGAGTGTCCGCCGCCTGTCCAGTCTGAGTCAAAGTTACAGCCCGCCTCCCCGCTGCCTGTTCCTTCTCCCTACACTTGTCCTACTGGAGGTCTTGCTGAGCGTCGTGAGCCTGCGTCTCGTCCTGCGTCGCTTGTTCGTGCTGCTCGCACTAGTCGTCGTGTTCCGCGTCCGCGTCCTCCTGCCGTCCCTGGCACACACCAGATGGCACTACGTCCTTCCACTGCTCCTCTACGTGTCCCGTTGCCGTCTCCTGCAGAGTCCTCTCTTCCTACTCTTGCTGACCCGGAGTCTGACTCTCTTCGTGCTGCTAGTCCTACTGTCACGCGTCTCCTGGCTACTGCTGTCACTGACCCTTCTTTTAAGTCCACTGCTGCGTCTGCCTTAGTTGCTAAGCTTGTCGACTTCGCTGCTCGCTGTTGTCTCGACTACGCCGCTAGTCTTGTTGCTGAGTCTGAGTCTGTCTGTCCTCCGTCTGTCGGGGGTGAGTGTGTTCTTAGCACGGACGTCCTTGAGGACAGGCAAGAGGAGTTCCAGTATTTTGCTGCTGCTTTGCCTCATCTCGTGTCCATGCTGATTGCCCCTGAGGGAGACCCGGATGCACCAGACATCCCGACTCCTCGATCGTACGCTGAGGCGATCGAGGGTCCCTACTCCTCACAGTGGCAGTCAGCTATGGATGCAGATATGGCTTCCTGGAAGTCCACAGGCACCTACGTCGACGAGGTTCCCCCACATGGGGCGAACATCGTCAGTGGCGTGTGGATTTTCAGGGTGAAGCGGCCGCCGGGTTCTCCGCCTGTCTTCAAGGCGCGTTACGTGGCTCGAGGCTTCAGTCAGCGGCAGGGAGTTGACTACTTTCAGACCTTCTCTTCCACCCCGAAGATGACCACTCTTCGGGTGCTGCTGCACATAGCCGCTCAGCGTGACTACGAGCTTCACTCTCTTGACTTTAGCACAGCTTTCTTGCAGGGCAGCCTGCACGAGGAGATCTGGCTGCGCCGCCCACCTGGCTTCACTGGGTCGTTTCCTCCTGGTACCTAGTGGAGCCTCCGGCGGCCAGACTACGGTCTCCGCCAGGCGCCCCGTGAGTGGCACGACACACGGAGGACTACACTTGCGGCTCTTGGGTTTGCTCCTTCTACTACTGACCCGTCGCTGTTTCTACGCACCGACACGTCTTTGCCGCCGTTCTACATCCTCGTGTACGTCGACGACTTGGTCTTTGCCACTGCTGACACTGCTGGACTCGCCCACTTGAAGTCTGAGCTGCAGAAGAGACACACGTGCACAGACTTGGGTGAACTGCGCAACTATCTTGGCTTGCAGATCACCCGGAACAGAGCACAGCGCACCATTACCCTGACTCAGTCACACATGGTGCAGCAGGTCCTTCTGCGCTTCGACGTCACGTACTCCTCGCCTCAGGCCACTCCTCTGTCTACTCGCCACTCGCTCTCAGCTCTGCCTTCGGATGAGTCCGTAGAGCCGATTGGCCCGTACCCAGAGCTTGTTGGCTGCCTCATGTACCTGATGACCTGCACACGACCTGACCTAGCATACCCTCTTAGCATCTTTGCACGCTATGTTGCTCCGGGGAGACACCGACCAAAGCACATGGCTGCAGCGAAGGGGGTGTTGCGCTACTTGTGCAGTACGTCGGGCATGGGGCTAGTGCTTGGAGGGCGACGTCGAGTGGTCCTCACAGGTCACGCAGACGCTTCTTGGGCTGACGACCAGGCTACGCAGCGGTCGTCACAGGGTTACACCTTCAGCCTTGGCTCCGGCTCTGTTTCGTGGCGGTCTACCCGCTCGTCTTCTGTTCTCGGCTCTAGCTATGAGGCTGAGATCTACGCTGGGGCCATGGCTGCACAGGAGCTACGCTGGCTCACCTACCTGCTGACTGACCTAGGAGAGCCGCCTCGTTCTCCTCCAGTTCTGTACGTAGACAACAAGGCCATGCTGGCCTTGTGTCGGGAGCACCGACTGGAGCACAGAACGAAGCACATTGCTCTCCGCTACTTTCTTGCTCGTGAGCTGCAGCAGCGTTGTCAGCTGCGCCTTGCTTACGTGGCCTCTGAGGCCAACACTGCTGATATCTTTACCAAGGCACTTCCGCCTTGTGATCATCAGCGCTTTTGTACGATGCTAGGTCTTGTGCGTACTTGGCCTCACTTGCTCACTTCTTGACCTTGATTGTACTGTGATCTATCTATACCTGCACTTGCTTGTTTACCTTTATATATGATCTTGCATGTGAACTGGACTTGTGGTCTTGAACTTGTGCTCGGAATGTGTGGTGACGTTGTGATCCACCCTCAGCTTGCTTTGCCTCGTTTTGCTTGACTGGTCTTGTGACTCCTTGTTCTCCCCCACTTTGCCTATGGGGAAAGTTTCGGTAGCAGGGAAGTTTACACAGAACCCTGATATCGTCAGGCTAACCATAATTCCGATCAGTGTAAAACAAACCAAGCTCTTTTTGCGTAAGGGTAAAAATCTTGGAATCCTGATTTTGATAGGGTAACTCTAAAAAAGCGGCCGGCCCCTAGGGTAATCAGGGCAATTTACCCTGATATTTTGGGCCCTGCCCCTTAACCTGCTTGTGGTATGAGCTTGTGAAGTCACTGAGGAGTGGAAGAAGCAAAGGAAACAGGAACACATATCAGCCATGATAAATGCAACAACGGCAGGTGCAGGACCCGACAGGTGGGCGTGAGAGCAGGTGCCGTGCTGCCCTCGTTGCAGCCACGGCAAGTGGCGACCTCCGCATATGACGGGCGTCACACGGGCTTGATGGCGAAGGTGAGGTACCCCGTGTGCCCCTTGCTCTCCGCCACTGGCCTCGCTGCCACGTACCTCCTCTCCTCGCCCATGCTCTCCACCACCCTCCTCTGTCGCCTGCCCATCTCCCTCCTCCCTCTGCCCACTGCCCCTGCCTCTCCCGTCGCACCACCGTCTTGTCTCCCCTCCACCACGGTGCTCTGCTCCATCCCACCGTCCTCCTCACCGCCCCCCTCCTCGCGACGGCGCTTCGCTGCCCGGTTGTCGCTCTGGTGGCCCCCGTCGCCCTCGCTGGCCCTCCCATTCTCTCCCTCCCCTGGCGGCTCAAGGCTCGGAGCTTCCGAGGCTCGCTTCAGGGTTGGCACGGTGAGGACTTCCTCCCGCACCTCGTAGCTTCGGCTGAGCAGCTCCACAGTGCGAATGTCTGGAGGCGTGGGGTGTATGGTACGGAGGGAGCAGCGATCAAAGGGTATGGTATGGAGAGAGCAGAGATCAAGGGGGGAGGGGAGATGAGCAGACGGGGAGGTGGAGCAGCGAGCGAGGATTGGAATGGTGGGTGGATGCAAGCAGTGGTGGGTGAGTGATGGGTGAGTGATGGGTGAGTGATGGGTGAGTGATGGGTGAGTGATGGGTGTGTGATGGGTGAGTGGTGGGTGAGTGATGGGTGAGTGATGGGTGAGTGGTGGGTGAGTGATGGGTGAGTGATGGGTGAGTGATGGGTGAGTGGTGGGTGAGTGATGGGTGAGTGATGGGTGAGTGGTGGGTGAGTGATGGATGAGTGATGGGTGAGTGATGGGTGAGTGATGGGTGAGTGATGGGTGAGTGGTGGGTGAGTGATGGGTGAGTGATGGGTGAGTGATGGGTGAGTGATGGGCGAGTGATGGGTGAGTGACGGGTGAGTGATGGGTGAGTGATGGGTGAGTGGTGGGTGAGTGATGGGTGAGTGGTGGGTGAGTGATGGGTGAGTGATGGGTGAGTGATGGGTGAGTGGTAGGTGAGTGATGGGTGAGTAATGGGTGAGTGATGGGTGAGTGATGGGTGAGTGATGGGTGAGTGATGGGTGAGTGGTGGGTGAGTGACGGGTGAGTGATGGGTGAGTGATGGGTGAGTGATGGGTGAGTGGTGGGTGGAAGGGTGCAGTGCAAGAGAGGGGAATGCAAGGCAGAGCGGCGTGTGGGCGTGGGGGGCTGGAGACGCACCGGTGAGGCCATGGGCGCGCATGGCTTGGGAGCAGCGCTGCACCTGCTCCATGCAGGGCGAGAAGGAGCACAGCCGCCCGCCCGGCAGCAGGCACGCGGCGGCGGAGGGCAGGGCGAGCCAGGGGCAGGGCAGGTCCAGGAAGGCGGCGTGCGCGGAGGCATGCAGGTGAGGGGGAAAGCCGAGGCCCTGGATGTCCCTGACCTGCACACTGGCCACGCCCGCTATGCCATTGGCTTCAAACTCCGCCCTGCGCATGGCACAGGGCACCACGTGGGTGGTCAGAGGAAAGGGGAGCTCGCCATTCATTCGCATTCCCCTCACCTCCTCTCGTGCTCTCCCCAGCCTGCCCATGCCATGTGGCACGCACCCCTCTCCTCATCCTCCTCACCTGCCATGTGCTGCGCGCCCCTGCCCTGCTCCCAGCAGCTTGAGGAAGCATGGCAGCTTCCGCCACACATGCCGCCTCACCCTCCATCCCCCTCACCTCGCCTGCTCACCTCGCCTGCTCACCGGGCTTTCTCCGCACGGGCGTGGTGGAAGTCGAAGGAGAGCAGGCGGCCGGTGGGCGCCACGGCGCGGGCGAGGGAGTGCGACAGGCTGCCGCTGCCGGTGCCGCTCTCCAGCACGGTGGCGCCGGGCGTGACAGCCAGGCGGGCGATGATGAGCGCGATGTCCGGCAGGTAGAGGATCTGCGTGCGGTGCGGTAGCACCTGGTGGGGTGGGGGGGGAATGGGGAGGTGTTGTATGGGGGGGAGGGTGTTGTAGGGGGGGAGGGTGAGGAAGTTGACGGTGGGTGGTGGTGGAACGAGGCAAGCAAGCGACAGGTACAGGATCTGCGTGCGGTGCGGTAGCACCTGGTGGGGGGGCAGGGAGAGGGAGGCGGGGAGGGGAGGGTGGTGGGCGATGCAGTGGGTGTGCTGTGGTGGGCGATGCAGTGGGTGTGCTGCTGTGGTGGGCGATGCAGTGGGTGAGCTGCTGTGGTGGGCGCATTACTGGAATCTGCTCGCACCCAATTCAACTGAACCTGCTCGCACATGCTCCACGCCACCTACTCGCCACCCCGCCTCACCTTGCTCCACCACCCCTCACCTCACCTCACCTCACCTCACCTCACCTCACCTCACCTCACCACACCTCACCGCACCTCACCTTGGTCCAGAGGGCGGGCGAGGGTGCAAGCAGGTGCACGAAGCCGCCTCCCTTGGCCGCCCGCACCCGCGACCCCACCGGCTGCCCCACCCACTTGCTGTGCCGGAACACTCCAAAGCTGGTGCGAAAAGGGGGAGAGGGAGGGTGGGGGGCGGGTGGGGGGGGGGGGGGGGCGGGGGGGGGGGGGAATGGGCGAAAGGGTGGGGAGTGAGGGTGGGGGGAAGGGGGAAATGGAGTCGAGAGGGCTCAGGCCAACGCCGAGTGGGGGAATTATTGCATGGGGAAAGAGTGCGTTCAGAAAGCAGAGTGTGGGGAACACAGGTGTGCCCCTCATCCCACTCCGCCCCGCGGCCATCACGCATCCCCACTAAGCTGCCTCACACAGGCCCCGCCAACTGCCCTTTGCCCCACGGCCATGTCTCGCCGCTCCTGCACCACCCTCCCTCGCGCCACCCCCACGTGCGCCACCCCCACGTGCGCCACCCCCACGCGCGCCACCCTCACATACGCCAACCCCCCGTGCGCCACCCTCCCTTGCACCACCCTCCCGCGCGCCACCCTCCCGCTCGCCATCCTCCCTTGCACCACCCTCCCGCTCGCCATCCTCCCTTGCACCACACTCCGCGCGCCACCCTCCCTTGCACCAACCTCCCGCGCGCCACCCTCCCTTGCACCACCCTCCCGCGCGCCACCCTCCCGCGCGCCACCCTCCCTTGCACCACCCTCCCGCGCGCCACCCTCCCGCGTGCCACCCTCCCGCGCGTCACCACCCCCAACCCCGCCCCCCCCTCCCCCCCTCCCCCCTCCCTTCGCGCGCCACGGTGGGTCTGACCGGTTCTGCAGGGAGCGGCTGGGCGTGACGGTGGCGATGCGCATGGCGTCCCGCGCCTCGTACACCACCACGCGATCCCCCTCCTCCACTCGCCGAACGCCTGCCCGCCGCGGGCCCGCCACCTCCATGCCGCCACGGAAGCTGGCGGACTGGGCTGGGCGGAGTTTGGGGAGCTGAGGGGGGGAGGGGGACGGCGGGAGACGGGGTTTAGCGCGGCAGATCCCAGTGAAGGGGTTTAGCGCGGTAGAGGGCAGTGGAGGCGGAGCAGGGGCGAGGGGGGAAGAGTGAGAGGGGCGAGAGTGGGAGCGCGTGATAGAGAGATGGCCCGGTGGGTGCATCCCAAAAATGAGGCGGTCGATTCAGTAGGTTTCGAAAAGTCACCTTTCACTCTCCCAGGAATATATGGATCACCAGACGGGGAACGTGCATTTCGTGGCGACGTAGACAAGCGCACGCCAAATAGACAAGCGCCAGGCAATTTTTTGGATTTGCCCGACAAAAATAGACAGGACGCAGACGGGCGAAAACAAAGTCCACATATAGTTTTAAACATATGGTTCGCGAAGTTTCGCCAACGTTTCGTGCAGTCTTCGTTCGGCGTGAGCAGTGACACAGCGACGGTCGCCACAAGGGGGTCGCGCAGAGATGTCGCCAGTAACATGCAGAAAAGTTATGATGCGCAAATTTTGGTGCTTACATACAGAATAAAAGGCACTACGAGGCTCTCAAACATGCCAAAATGGAGTCCACAGAATTGGCTGTGTCTTTAGTTGTTTTATTTTTTTATGCTACGATAGTTTTAGCCATCCTATACCTTACTACAATGGAGAGAATTGTCAAAAACACATTTAAGGGTGGTTTGTGGCTCCAAATGTCTACCTTCTGGTGTACCTTCAAACGCTGATAATGGATAGGTTAGTGATGCAAATCATCTTCTGAATGGCTCCAGCATCTTCCATTGACATCCTCTACTGTTTAGGATTGAAAACTTTTTTTTTTGGTGAATTCACCAAAACCAACATATCTGTTGGAAACAATTGATTTAAGCGCTCCTGTCGTGTTGAAACACCAAGTCAGAAGCGAAGCTCAACATATCGAAGCATCAGCGAGTCAACCCTCGGAGGTTGAGCAACTGCTGGAGGTTACGCGAAAGTCAAAGGCCAGCAACCTTTGACCCGACAAGTATAGCGCGACAGCAAGGACAAACAACTGACTCGCTATTGAGCAGTTGCCCGAGTCGTCACTGTATCGAACCGCATCAGCAATAGTAAAACGGTTATTAGTTATAACCCTTCATATTCCCTTGTACTCTTATGAAAGCTTGTATCTCTTTGTTTTAATCAATCTATTTTGCCCTCACACACCAACGCAAGGTGGTTCACAACCTTTCATCAAACGCTTCCGCTATTACATCAGTCCTACCAGGAGTTTAGTCCTGCAAAGATCCTAAGGGCTCCTTTTCAGCCCAACATGGTATGAGAGCTGTCAGGACAAACTCCACTATCAAGATAACTACAACATCAGAAAGCATGGCTACTCAGAAGGAAAGGAGTTCCGATAATGGTTCTCCCGGCACTACCCCTACTCCACCTCCTGCCTCTGGCCTACAGACAGAGCAGGGCACGGCGACAAGACCAGCAGTAGGGTCCACTGAAACTCCTGCGAATAAACCTGCAGACTTCGACCAGAACATGATGGAGAAGTTCTTCTCCTTCATGTCCTTCTACGGGCAACACCAGCAGTCGGCACCTGCGCAGTCAAACAACAGCAACAACAACAACGACGTGACGCCCATAAGCCTCGACGGCTCATCCTACGCACGTGGAAATTAACAGCAGCAACCTACCTTTGCTCCGTACGAGCCCCAGTGCGGCTCCGTCAGCTTTATGCCGCAATCGCAGCCTGCACCTGGACAAGAGAAGACACTGGACGCACTTCAAGTTCAGTCGCAGTTCGCGCACGTCTTAAAACTGCAGGCGTCAAAGCCTTTCGACGGGAAGGACTTCTTTACCTAGTCGTTCAAATTCGAATGATGGAAGGCGCGCAGATTCTTGGCTTCTTCAACGGGTCCCTGCCATACCCAACACACGGCACACAGTACGACAAGCAGAAGTACACGTATCAGTCAATGATGTCGTACACAATACTACTGAGAAACATCACTCCGAATCAGCAGCAGAATATACGGTCTTACCGGGGATACGGCAACTCTGCAGAACCTGAAGAACCTGTATCAAGCAACAGACAGCGTTGATCAAAGCCGGTTAATGGCGCAACTAACAACAATCGAAATGAAACCGGGCGAAAAGGGGATGGCGTATATCAGCCGCTGTCGCGAATTGCGCGACAAACTCATTCGATGCGGAGGGTCGATTTCAGAAGACCCCTTCGTCACAGTCATCATCGGCGGCCTCGGTCCTCAGTGGCACTCCACTCGCGCCATACTCCGAGCTCACGGAAAAATATCAGAAGCAGCACTCTGCGCCGAGATCCACGCTGAACAGCAAGATATGGACCTGCAAAAAGAACGACACAAGAGGAAGACATCAGTGCCCGAATTCGCATTCCACACTCAACGGCGCTACAAGAACAACAACCGGCATCAACCGAAACCAGTACCTCCGTTCTGTCACCTTTGTAAGACGTCAGGTCACCCCCGTACACACTGCCCAAACCGACAGCAGTCAACGTAGTGGCCGCTTTGCCCTTCAAGCAGTCAAGTCACCTCAACGCAAGCGAATCCGACCACTCAAGTACAAGCTTCAACAACATCAACGGGACAATCTGCGCAAGGAACAAGAAACATCGTCAGCTGCATGGCACGATTGACCGACTCCTGCATCACAGAGTCACCACCGCATTACTCACCGGAAGAGCAACTTGACAACAGCACGCCTCGTCGCGAGTCACTTCAACCAAACCCGACGTATACAGCCATCGCTCAAAGCGAGCCGTCCGGGAAAGATACGTGGTTCTTGGACAGCTGTTGCGGACAGCACATGTGCTCTTCAGGACGCTTTGTTCAACGCGAACACCAACTTCAACGTGAGGTCGTCATCACCGTCGCCAACAATCAGAACCTGCGCACACGACGACAAGGCGTAGTGCAACTTCAGTCACGAGAGACAAACGTCATACTGCAAATGTCTAAGGTTTTAATAGCAGAAGGGCTCGGTTACAACTTACTGAGCGTCAGCCAACTGATGGCGAAGGGCATACACCTCGAAGCAGATAGCACCACTCATGAGTTCAAGTTGTACCACGGGAGAGGAGGTTGTCAGACTTATATGACTTAGCCTATGTAGGCTATACTGGGGTAGCACATATGCGGTACAACACATTTCTAGGGTTTGTACTTGTACCCAACCTTCCCCTTAGTCCATCATTCCTCGTAATCTTCACATGGTATAGAGCAGGTTGTCAAACATTATATATGTTGTTGTAGTTATTTAGGCTACAGTGGGTTAGCCTATAAGGGTTACACATTTCTAGGGTTTCATACTTGTACTCATTTTCACTGTTAGTTCATTCATTCTTGTTCAACATGGTATAGAGCAGGTCCTTCCTAGGACCGATTTTTTTAGGGCCCACCACTACCTACCTACCTACCTACCTACGCCCTAGGGCGCCTCGGCTTTCATGCCCCTAGAGGCCCCGTCGGCCCCGCGCTCTCGCACCTAGAGGCCTCGATCGGCCCCGCGCTCGCTTTTAGAGGCCCCGAATCGGCCCCGCGCTTACCCCTAGAGGCCCACGTAGGCCCCGCGCTCGTCCTTAACGGCCCCGATCGGCCCCGCGTTTGCCCTTAGCGGCCCATGTCGGCCTCGCGCTCGCCCTTAGAGGCCCTGCACGGCCCCGCGCTCACCCTTCACGGCCCCGAATCGGCCCCGCGCTCGTCCCTAAGGCCCCGGGTGGCCCCGCGTTTGCCCTTCAGGCCCCGCGCTCGTCCCTCACGACCCCTATAGGCCCCGCGCTCGCCCTTAGAGGCCCACGTCGGCCCCGCGCTCGTCCCTAACGGCCCCACCCGCTCCCCGCGCTCGCCCTTAGAGGCCCCGCACGGCCCCACCCAGAACGAGCCGCCCGAACCGAGCAGCCCGAACCGAGCCGCCCAGTCCGACCCGAGCCGCCCAACCCTAACCGAACCGAACCAGCCCTGACCGAGCCGCGCCGCCCGACCCGAGCCGCGCCGCCCTACCTATACCGAGCCGCGCCACCCTACCTGTACCGAGCCGCGCCGCCCTACCTGTACCGAGCCGCGCCGCCCTACCTGTACCGCGCCGCGCCGCCCTACCTACCCTTTGACTGCTCCTATTGCTTTTCCTACTGCTGCTACCATGGCTAGCCCTCCTGTGCTAGCCTTCGATACTGAGGGCCGCCCAGTGAAGTTCGACACCTGGCTTGATGACCTACACCTCTTCCTACAGCTCACTGCCAAGGAAGACATCTCACTGTACGATCACGCCTTAGGCCACGCTACTGCTCCTGCTGCTACTGCTGACAGCACTGCCCGCTCACAGTGGCAGACTCGTGACGCCCATGCTCGCTTCGCTATTCGCAACTCTCTGCCGATAGATGAGCGCGAGCACTTTGGGCAGCACAAGACTGCGCAGGCACTGTACACTGCTGTCGTTGCCCGCTACTCCTCACCGGCCTCTGCCGCACTAGGCCGTCTCTCTCTTCCCTACCTGTTCCCCGACTTAGCTTCCTTCCACATTGTCGCTGATCTCATTACCCACCTCCGCACTAGTGAGGCTCGCTTCCGCGCCGCTATGCCTGATGAGTTCCTTGCCAAGAACCCACCCCCGCTCTGGCTCACTCTCTACCACCTAGTCACGCGCCTCCCTGACACTCTGCGCTCAGTCAGGGACCACTTCCTAGCTCGCTGCCCCACCGAGCTCACCATTGCCCTCCTCGAGAAGGAACTCCTTGCAGCTGAGACTAGCATAGTCGCTGTAGGTGCCTCTCGTGGTGACCCCCGTACCCCGTTCTTTGAGGGGTGTTCTCCCTCCCCCCTTCTTCCCTCTGTCGCCTCTACTGCTGCTGTCGACCTCCTTGGTGCTGAGAAGGTCGGGACTGCGTCTGCTTCGAGCGGGCGCCGCAGCGGCAAGGGCAAGGGGGGCAAGGGCGGTGGTGGTGACAGCGGGGGTGGCGGTGGTGGGGGAGGTGGTGGTGGCGGGGGGGGTGGCGCGGGTGGGGGAGGTGGCAGCAGTGGGGGGGGTGGCGGCAGCGGCGGGTTTAGGTGGCCGGGGCGGAGGAGGTGGTGGGGGTGGCAGTGGACGAGGCAGCGGCCGCGGTTGGGGTGGTCGAGGAGGTGGTAGCGGCGGTGGTGGTCGTGGAGGCA